AATAAAAAGACCATCACTGTTAAGTGAATCCAATAAATAATCAGAGTATTAATAAATTCGAAGCGAGCACTGCACAGTCAAAGACCGAACGTTAATTAAATTGAACGAACACTATTGAAGTTCGCTCACGAAGCAATGATAAGGACGAGCGTTCAGTATAAACCGACCTCTCCTTAGGACGAACGCTAGGTCAATGACCGGGTCATCAAATAGAACGAACGCGCATTTGAACGATCGTTCGGTATCAGACCGAACGCTAACGATGACGAACGCTCAATCTAAGATCGAGAGTTCATTTGGACGAACACTCAGTATAATACTAAGCGCTGCTTATGACGACGCTGGTAAACAAACCGAGCGTCCTAACTACAATTCACTTTATTTTTAATTGTTGGACACCTAGGCAAGCCGAACGCTCACACCTAACTCTTGACACCAATAACGCTCGTTCTTAATCAGAGTCCTTTCCAAATGAAAGAATTCTTATTCTAAGTGATTTCCAGGAAAACCGAACGGTATAAGACCGTTCGATAACGAGCGTACATGAATCAATCAGAGAAGATAAAATTTCCAGAGTTTTCAAACACGATAATTTCACAGTTTTCATAAATCCATACTTAGAATTTTCTCCAACATCAATATCATACATTACAGAATTCATATTATCATTTCATCAATACAGAATTTTCCATTTTCCATTTCAAACATATCATCATCAACATCCGTTCCCAAGCATTTTCATTCCGAATCATACGAAATTCAATCATAGTCCAATTCATACATCTCATTCTCTGCATACGGTTCAAACAACATTCATAATATCCATCCAGGGGCAACCATGCTTATTCAGGCACACTCAAATTCATATATTTCATACATTTTAAACAACCAGCATACTTCATTACTGTCTAGACATCAAACCAGTATTAAATTAAATTACTAAAGCTTCCCTTACCTGGTCTAGCAGTGAACTCCCAAATGCTTATGGTTTCTCTAGTGCTCTCACGGCTTTCTACCCAACGAGTCACTCCAAGATTCTCACTAAATCTAATAAACCAAAATGACATAAGGTTCAGACCTATAACTCATGCATGCAACCAGAAATTGGTTCGCATGAACTAAATAGATGAAGGTGCAGAGACGAGAACTTACCAGTTCAGTTCTCAGTTTTGTTCGGTTCAGAATAATGCTCACAGTGCAGAGAAGGTTCCTACGGTGTCTGAAATGAGATCGGAAGAGATGATGGTGAGTTATCTTAGAGAGAAGATGAAGAAGTTTTAGAGAGAAGTTGGAGAATTTGAAATCAGAAATTCGGGGAAGAAGATGAAACATGCAGAAGAGTGGAGAAGGGTTTTTCAGAAAATCATTTTCCCTTCCCACGCAAGACGAACGCCCATTCTCCACATGCCACTTGTCTTCCACTAACGTTTTTCGAATGATCCAGCCGTGACACTTGGCAGTTTCATGCAGAGTGGGTGTGAGTGCGTTTTGACGTGGCACGGTGCATTCAATGATGATCAGAGTGTGGGATTGGGTGCGTTAATTATTTAGGGTCTCACACATAACATTATACAACTGTTATTTTTAATATTTATAATTTAAGTTATTAAACTAAAATTTAATATTTTTACATTTATTAAATTTTTAACATAATTTAAATTTAAGCACTACAATAAAATATTTAAATAACATATATTAATTTAGTTTAATACTTTAAATAACATATTAATTTAGTTTAATAATTTACATTTATATTAAAATATTTTAATGTGCTTTTTATAGAAAAAAAAATGGGTTAAAATTGAGCTCTTAAAGACGTCTACTTCTGTAAATAATCCAACAAAGACTTGATTCTGCGATTTTTATTTTTATTTTGTACTGAGCGAGTTTATTTGATTTTTTTTCCTAATTTTAGTTCTTATACATTTCTGTGTTTAAACTTTGAAATTTCGGAAAAAATATAATTATAAAATTAGTAAGTTTTTATTTTTTGTTTATGCAACAAAAAATAATTTTGTTTTTCCTGAAATGGAAAAATACCATTTTTTATTCATAGTACTCTATAATAGTAATTAATTAGCATTCTAAATAACGTGTAGTAGATTCGTAAGATATTGGGGACATATTCAGATAATAATGTTTAGTATAATATTTTTCAAAATAATGAAGAGAGTTGATATGTATAAAAGAGGTCTTATAAAAATCGATCTTAACCGTGTTAAATAATTTATTATTTTATAATGTTTAATACATTTTAATTAATGTAAAAATATATTAGACGAAGTGCGATATTTTATAACATTTTTGTTTATTAGTTCGTGGTTGTTGTGGTGGCCGGCGTCAGGGAAGAAGTCAAAAACTAGTGACCATTGAAGCCGGCGCGTGACTGAGACTTTGCCAAGTGTTTCACGCTCTTCTTCTTTTCAACCTTCTATTTGCTACTACTGTTTATAATTAATAACACTTCTTGGACTTTCTTCATAATCTTATCACTGTGTCGGGAAACTCAAACTTCTCATTCAACAATACTGCAAAACCTGTGAAAGACGCAAATAGATTTTTCCTTGTTTTCTTAAAACAATTGTTCTAAACTTCTAATCATTTCACTATCATTTGACTATCCAACTTATACTTATTTTTCTTCCTCACTCCACATCAACATGCAACATTTTGCTAGCTATTTGTTTATTTTGATTTTATTTTTGTGCTTATCTTTTAATACGTAAGAGGAAAAGAAATCGTAAACATGTATGAATGATAATACTCTTAAATTTGGAGTTTATTATTAAACAAACAAAAAATTGTCTTTTGAGATGGAAAAGGTTGTTATGTTCAGTTTCATCAATATTTGATTATGTCTTGAGCAAGTACGTATCTATTAGTATCGTGAACCCATATAAATTATTTTTTTCTATCGTATATTATTTATTTTAATCTCTTACAATTAGTATTTAATAAATATTTTATTTAGTTTTTCGTCTGTAAGTTGTATTCATGCTTAGTTAATAAGTGAAATATAATATTATAATGGATTCTTTATGTAACGTTCTTACATAATAATTATATTATACGGAACATCTAAAACGAGAATATAGGTAGGTGCATGTCTGATATCCCAAAAGAAGCCGACATTTACATCTCTCCCATGCCAATTCAACAATTATTCCAATGATGCATCAAAGGGAAGGACTTTTGTTCACCCCCACAAACCTTAATTGTGTGATTGTCTTATTGGAACATCATCAGTAATTGACATAAAACTCCACCATATTTAGGCATGCCATCTTCTATGAATAAAAAGATCACCTTTTCCCAAACCCTTCAGTGAATTTCCTCGGCAATGGTGGGTGACCATTGCTTTTAATTCATCCACTGCCTGCTATTGTCTCATTTACTCATCATTTCGTACCCTTAACGTAAAATCCAAAATTACGTACTAGACCTTATATTATATACAAGGGTAGAGGAGAGTGAAAAGGAGAAATGTATAAAATATGGATAATGGAAGAAGACTCTTCTTCCGATTACGTTGAATGATTGAAGTGGACTAGGTCGAATTTGGATTCCCTCAACTTTTGGTTTAAGTTGGTTTGTTTGGATTTTTGGTTCAAGTTGGTTTGTTTTGACTAATAATTTGGGTTGATTCATCTTAATTTTCGGTTTTATATAGTATTTCTTAATCATCAATTCCAAATGAACTCATCTGTCTTGATTTTTTTGTCATGGCTCAACCTTTAGTCTAGATCAACTCATCTCGACCCTTGGTTCAAGAGAGTCTGTTTCAATTTTCCATCTAAAGATTTATAGAGGAGGAGGCTGGAGAGATACGATAACAATGAGATTTGAGTTCAAGTATATAAGAGATTAACGCTACTCTATCCAAAACCTTAAGACAACGAGTCTTCATCATAGAGATCTGAGTCCAACTACATAAGAGATTGACATCACTGTATGCTTAAGACTTTAAGACAATGAATCTTCATCTTTATATGGTGTTCCATTTTTTCATTTCTATCCAAGATAAAACTTAAACTCACTTTGATTTCTAACATAACCTAAGCAAAAGTATAGTTTTTAAGGATTAATTAAAGTCTTGTCATAGGTGAAACCTACCTTAATTCTTACCCTTACTCACTTAAGAATGAACTTTGAAGACTGATTTTTTTTTCCACTAAATTGGGAATAGTGGGCTAAAACTGGTCCATATCATATATCAAGTTGACATGTCTTCAAAAAAAGAGAATCAGAACATATGTGTGAGAAAAAAAAAAGAATGATCCTTTGCCGGTATGTATTCTTAGACCAATTCTTAGCAAGCTGTTTCAACACCAGAGAGGGTGTCTCCAGTTTATCTTGTTCATCATGCACCTTTTGTTAAAGTTTGGTAAGTATGTTGGTTCCACTTTCATTAAAAATAAATAAGTTTACTGTAATGTAACTTTTTGCTGGATTATCTTTCTAAAGGCTATCAAAGAATTAAAATTTATTCCAATTGCACTAATAAGAATACTTTTATGTAATATTGCTATAGAATAAATTCTATTAAGGAAAATGATTTCTTAAAAACCACTCAGATTCTGTTTTCTGGTTGCAACTAAAGCTCATTTTACACCCAATCACAGATAGATGAAAAAAATTACTTTCATATATATCAATTCTAACATAGTAACAGTTGTACTAGTAGGAAGTATCTTGACGATATCGTCGATAGTTAAAGACTAAAGAACTGTTAGTACACATTTTGTTGAATGATTACTAACATTTACTAAGGTGTAGTGGTTGTCTTGCATCGATAGGATAAGGAGTTAGTAAAAGTAACTTTCAGATTGCTATGGACAAAGCAGCCAACCACTGATGTACATCTTTACATGACACGTCCTTACCAAACAATAAATAATTTCCCAATGGAAAACCAAACATGCAGCACTTTCTTTTACTAAATGCTCATAGGTAAACTGTGGGAAAATGATTCTTTGGGATATTTAATGATGTCCCTTACCTATGAAGTACTTGAACTTCCAACGTACTTGAAGTGTTTTTGTATGTAAATTAACGACCATATTGTGTTTCACTTGTTTTCTTTGTGATCCACATAATGCATATGGGATCTGTACGTAATATAAAGCAAAACTAAACTATCCCGAGCTTGCTTGGCTCATGACTTAATCTGGCAATGTCACATTCGTTATCAATGGCATTTACATGATAAGAACAAATTAGTACAAACCTCATGAAAAACCTCAAGAATAAGACTACGGTACTGATTAGAGTTCATGGAGATATAATAGTTCAATAGACTACGAAGATCTTTGGCGTCTTGAAGGCGGTTGGCAGCTATCATCTCCATCATGGACTCTCTAAAATCTACTCTTGGATCGTAAGAGCTCTTCTCCATTGCTACCATCACGACAAACTTTGTCCCTTCACTGCTCTGCTGTCTTCTTCTCTCTACATGACTAGCTTCCATCCTTTCTCTAATCATTTGGTCAAGTCTCTCTTGCACCATGGCGTGTGCAAGGCTTGAAACAGAAGGGAACCTATCAGAGGCTGAGCTTTCTGCTTCTTCAGAAGAAGAAACACTGAACCTGCAGCTGCAACACAAGGCCTTGCATCCTCTTTGTTGGAGCTGATTCTGCTTCTGCTGCTGCTGCTTTGAAGCTTTCATTGCAGGACACAAAGACTATGCTTTGAAGGGAGATTTGTGTAAAAATAATCACTTATGCACAATTGACAAGTGGGGGCACAGCAACGAGTAAATGATTATGTTTTGTTTTATGAACATTCAAAACTATAGATTAGGTGTTAGCTTGATGGGCAGATGGGGGACATGCATATAGTTAATTGAGCCAAAGATCATCATGTTTAACTAGACTTATCATGATCTCAATCCTTTTAGGATATGATTAGGTGTCCTAGCTTTTAAATCTGACCAATAAACCTCTTTAATAAGAGCTAGTTGATGACATGCCTAATAGAACTCTACCACACTTTGCTTAGTAATTTAGCACACCATATGCCCCTTGACCCAGTTTTCTCTTTGAAATTGAGAAAAATTATGAAAGCAATGGATGGCCAAATCCTTAAGTATAAATGTCTACATTCGTTGTTACTTAATACACAGTTTTATTCTTAAAAACATTTAAAAAAAAAGAAGGGAAAAAGAGTTTTTAAACTGACTTAGCCAATCAAATTTAAAAAAGAAAGACATTGTTAAGATTAATCATATTATATATAAAGTATTGTTCGTTTTGGAATCTGTCAAAGACGTCTTTTTAAATTGTTTTTAATTTCTTATTTCTGATTTTTAATAAATGTGAGATTATTGGGTACGATAGAAAGACAATTTAATTATATTCTTTGTAAGCATATGAATCAAACAAGTTCCTACTTCCTAGCATTTGTTTCTGGTTTCTGTTAATAGAAATTTCAATTCCATCGAATTGCTTTTGTAATGGTTGCTGATCAATTATGGAGAAAATCCGAAAAAAGATACACACAGCTAATTAAGAATCTCTTTAACAGATTCGTGTATGTAGGCTACAAGTAGAAAGGCAGGAAAACTGTTACGTAAAGCAAAAGGTGACGATGGAGGTGATTAGCATGTGATTATCATTGATGACAAAGCCATGTTGTGAAAAATATATATGATCCTCGTTTTTGTGCATCATGAAGGTAATTAAATGTGATTAATCAGTACAACCAAGTTGTTTATGCATGCCTCGAAGCACATGTTGCTATAATCATTCTTACTCACTAATCATAAAGCTAAAGCCTAGGTCCCCCGATAAGGAAGATATATAAAATGCCCAAAAACATCAAGACAGACTGTCTCAAGTTTTTGCTTTTCTTTAGAATAAGCAACAGGGTGAAAACAATGAATGAACTCGTATGACTCATGCAAAGCAACATTAGTAATATTCATTTCTTTATATTTTCAAGTACAAGTCATAGCCATCTACCCCTAAGCATGGATATTGGCGTGAGTAATATTAACAAGTCCTTTATTTTTTCTTCTCAAATATTAAAATTGTTTTTGGTGTAGGGTGGAGATCTCCACAAACACTCATTCACACTTTCTTATGAATCACCTTAGGTAATCCTCAATATTCTTAGCCAAAAATTTTCTCTGTTCACAGTTTCAAATCTTATGAGTGTGTATCTCAAAGGTACTTTAATGCTTAAGATAATGAATAATTCGATTGAGAGTCACAGTTTTTACCCGTAATCTTGATTAGGAGTGATCTTTAGGAGTTTATTGCTGAGATCGTCCGACCTCTCTATTTCTCATTTTCATGGTTGTGCAGTCAACTAGTATTGAACGGATAGTACTTGTGAGTGTTAACGGCAGTCCATTCAAATTAGTCATCCCTTTTTGTGATTGTATCCAAATTAGTCATCCCTTTTTGTGATTGTATCCGGCCGATCGTATAAATCCCATACACTACAAAAATAATTTTTTAATGAAAAATAATTTTATTTCAACGGAATAAAGTTATTGTATCACTTCAAAGGTTAAGTTCATCTCGAAATTCAAATATCTAACTCTACCATCAATTTAATGCAATTTTGTTTTCGTTTTTATGTTCTTTTACCATTTTTTATTTTTAAAACTGAACGTTAATCAACCTCTAAAAAAGAATCTTATCAAATAAACAATTTTAAAATCTCAACAACAATATTATACCCATTTTATTTTCCTCGTTTTAAAAACATAAGAAAAATAACTAGTCGAGAGAATACATTTCTAAATTAATTTGAATAAAAATCAGTTTTCCTAAATCAACTAGTGTAATTTATGTTAACACTGCAGCATTGAAATGTTTTGTTAACACAACTAACTGGGATTATATAATATTAGGATTAAAAGTGTGTTTTTTTTCATTCAGGAAAATGAAAATACATAACTTTTTACGATTATCAAAATCAATACGTAAAGCACGTTTAATCGCCGTTACCGTAAATCCGCGGGTTAGCAGAGAAGCCAAGACTGATGACGGAATACGGAATTACCTATCGATGCTTCTAAAACCATTCGTAACGCATTGACAGCAAAAAAAGCTTCACCAACCAAATGTCGTTAACTCACGATTCTCAACTATTTAATCTCATCTAATCCTTATCTAATCTCTTTTAAGTTAGATAACCTCTTTTTACCCAAAACAAAATAATTATAGTTTGGTAAGCCTAATTTTTATTCTTTTTTTTATTTATATTTATTTTGAGTTAAAGTTGTGTAAGGTAAGTTAAGTGTTTCATTTTGCATTTTACACTTGGATCTTTGCACTGGTCACTTTATACAGTTACTCACACTTTCTCTAACAGATTTCAATGGCGCCCTCTTTCGCAATCAACGGCGACTTTCCCGGCACCAGAGTCACTCCTCCTTCCCACACCGGCCGATTCGCCGACGTCTACAGCGAGGTGCAAAACAGCCGCATCGGCCACGCCCTTCCTCTCCCCTCCGTTCTAAAAACCCCTTTCGTCATCGTCGACGGTCCCCAAAGCACCGCCGCTGGCAATCCTGGTCCCTCTTCTCTCCATTCGCTACTTCAATTTTCCGTCAACACTTCCGTTTCCATGTAATTTTGAGATCTTCTCTGTATCTCTTCTTTTGCAGATGAGATCGCTAAACTGTTCCCGAACCTGTTCGGACAACCGTCGGCGAGTTTGGTGCCGAATGATTCTCCCCCGCTGCATGCGAATCGGAAGCTGAAGCTTGGCGTGGTTCTGTCCGGTGGTCAGGCTCCTGGCGGTCACAATGTGATTTCTGGAATCTTCGGTAATGGATAATTTGCATTTCGATTAAATTTAATCAATGAGTTTAACGTGTATATTCTTTAGGTTTATGTGGTTTATTAGGTTTCAATTTTATCGTTTGGTTTTCGTTTTAGATTACCTGCAAGACAAAGCAGAAGGAAGCACATTGTATGGTTTCAGGGGCGGTCCAGCTGGCATCATGAAGTGCAAATACGTTGAACTCACCTCAGACTATATTTATCCGTATAGAAATCAGGTTTATTTTCCTGGTTACAACTTTCTATAAGTGTAGCTGGGCAAAATTTCTCATCGTCGTTATCATTATTATTATTATTATTATTGATTTCATTGTTCGAGTAAAAATTTAGTAGTTGCTATTTGGAGCTTCGCGTATTTCCTTTGTACATTGACTCTTTAACTGGCAATATCGGCCTTTTGTTTTCTTCGAATAAGGTTTCTGGATTAACATCTGTCTTTGACTGTGATGATGTTTGTATTTCTTGATTTCTGAATCTGATGCCGTAAACTTAATGCTTTTGACATGCCTTCTGTGGGTGAGTCGTGTCTGTAAATGTTTCCAATTGAGTAGTCCTGCTGTAGTTGTTGCTACTTTTCCCTAGAAATAATTTATAGGATAATGATACTTTTACAACATTTTTTTGACAATATTTTAACATCATCTACATGTTATTCTGTGATTAGTTCAAAATTATTCCACAATCAATAATAATAATCAGAAACACTAACATGGACTAATCACGTAGATGGTGTTAAAATGTTGTCAAAAAAATGTTGTCAAAGTATCATTATCCTAATTTCTATTGGCTGGGTGGTTTTGACATGTTGCGCTTGCTATTTCCCTAGAAATAATAATCGGGAGATTGTGTCAGCTAATAGGAATAAGTTCTGCTGGCAGGGTGGTTTTGACATGATTCGTAGTGGGAGGGACAAGATTGAAACTCCAGAGCAGGTTGGCTTACCTGTGTCTGTCACTCTGCTGCTTAAAGTGTTCATTTGAACTCTGTACATCTTCAAGTTTGAATAGTAATTTATTTTACTTGTACAGTTTAAACAAGCTGAAGAAACAGTTCAGAAGCTAGACTTGGACGGCCTTGTTGTTATTGGTGGAGATGACTCAAACACAAATGCATGCCTACTTGCTGAGCATTTCAGGTTTCTATGAATGGAATTTTACTTTTGGCATGATCTGCTAGTGTTGGGGTTTTCAGTACCCTTTGACCTTGTTTTTTTGGGATCTTTACTTGTCAAGGGACAAAAACATGGTTTTTGCTTGTTAATTTGTGATTGATCTACAATGGTCTTTTAGCTGACCATCTGTTGTATAAAATTGTTTAGCATACACACATAAACATGCACTGGTTTTTGCTTGTTTAACTTTCATAAATATGCACTGGTTCTTCTTAACTATTGTTTGTCTGATTTTTCTTATACAGGAGTAAAAATATGAAAACTCGTGTGATTGGGTGCCCTAAAACCATTGATGGTGATTTGAAATGCAAAGAAGTTCCCACAAGTTTTGGGTTTGATACAGCATGCAAGGTGAGTGGAACTAGTCTTCCCTGTGCATTTATAAATATGGTTTGGTCTAATCGTTTCTGATATTGTAACATTTAAAGTAAGCAATTTTATCTTTGTAACACCAATAATTTGCATAGCACGAACTACGAATGGGAATATCATAGTATATAAACAGGGAGTTTTTGAGAGAATCGGATGCATTACATTTTTCTCCAGCAATGCGGTCAACATTTTCATAGGATTTTTTTTAACCTTTAATGTGGTCCTTGATTTTGTATATAATTTGTTGTATGTTCCATGAGGGGTACTTTTCTTTTTTATTTTATCATATGGTGTGCCATATGGTTGGTTTTTTTGTGATGAATAATCTTATGATATTTAAAAACCCCATTCCCATAAATTCTCTAAATAATGATTTGTTGTGCATATTCTTTTAAATATACATTTCATGCTTACGTGTACTGACCCAGTTTACTTTTTATGCAGATTTATGCAGAAATGATTGGCAATGTTATGATAGATGCTCGATCAACTGGAAAATATTACCATTGTAAGTATCTGAAAAAAGTTGGAAATATTTTAGAACTATAGCAATTATAGACTGGATGCTTTGCTGAGCTGTGGTTGCCAATGTTTAATGCTTCACTTAGGACATTCACGTATTGATTGTTTTCGCTTGTAGTTTGCTTCCGTTACGTGGATATGTACCAATTGCTAGTACCACTTCTTTTTTATTCTGATGCGAAAATATGAAGTCAGTCTCAATGTTCGTTTTTTGGATTCTAAAATTGCAAAATCCATTATCCGAATGATAAAAGTATGGTATTGTGCTTAAAGGTCATTATTTACTGTATACGCCTTATTCTTTTCACTCAAATACCATGTTTATATAATATCTTGTTCACCCATCTGAATTTTATGGTTTGTCTGATATACAAGAGAGAAATAGGTTAGATGAAAAATAAAGTAGAAACAAAAGTTGGAGATACTCAAGTCGCTATTCACGTCGCATCAAACCCAATCTTCCAGGAGCTCACTACACATTGAAATTGATTGTTATTTTGAGAGAAGGTGCCCTCAGAAGAATCGTCATTGACTTTGTCAACTCTGGGCTAAATCCCTGAAGAACTCTCGTATTGATCACATTTTTTACAAGTTTAACTCGTATGACATATATGTGTTCCAACTTGAGGGAAGTGTAAAAGATATGATTTGATCATAGTAATTAGGGAAATATGTACACCTGATAATGATGATATTCTCCTTTATTAGCCATTATAAGATTTCCCTATATTATACTTTCGATGATTATAAACGAAGGATTTACTCGTGTGATTAAATGCACAATTCACAACGACAGAGAAACTCTTTAAATTTCATGACACTTTATGAAGTCATTTTGCTCACTCAGTCTCTCTCTCACGCACTGTTTGTACCTGTTCAATTTTGCTGTACTGAATTTCAAACATTGGGTAAGAGATGGCACATGTATGCAGTTGTTCGGCTGATGGGACGTGCAGCTTCACACATTACACTGGAATGTGCTTTGCAAACTCATCCAAACATTACTATTATTGGAGAAGAGGTTTGTAATAAATCTTATCATTTTATCTAGTGTTTGATCAGTGACTCATCAGGGCTCTCTATCAAAAATTTGATTTGACATGCAAATATCTTATTTCAGGTTGCTGCAAAGAAGATGACGCTGAAAGATGTCACTGACTACATTGTGGATATCGTTTCTAAAAGAGCAGAGGATAATTATAACTATGGGGTCATTCTTATCCCTGAAGGTCTAATTGATTTCATACCAGAGGTAGCTATTATTGCTAATCATTAACATTAGTTTCTTCCGGTGGGATGGGGCTTTGGATCTGTTCATCTACAATCAATACGGAAGCACAGGTTAATGGTGTCACTTTTATATTCTTTTTGTTTGCAGGTACAACACCTTATTGCAGAACTCAATGAAATTCTTGCCCATGATACTGTGGACGAGGGAGGGCTGTGGAAGAAGAAACTCACAGATCAGTCATTAAATCTTTTTGAACTTTTACCTAAAGCAATTCAAGAACAATTAATGCTTGAAAGAGATCCTCATGGAAATGTTCAGGTGCTTAATGGTGTTACAGTGCTATGTTTGCCGTGTTTGTCTTGTCCTGTAATGCAATTTGACTTGACGTCAATGCTGGTATTTATTTCCATTTAGGTTGCCAAAATTGAAACAGAGAAAATGCTTATTCAAATGGTTGAAACTGAGTTGGAAAAGAGAAAGCAACAAGGCACATATAAAGGGGGATTTAAGGGGCAGTCCCACTTTTTCGGGTACTCCATCTGGTTTAGATGATTTCTTGGAGTTGCAAGGCTTGATGATATGAATTGTTATGAAAATAAAAAATAAGAGGTTCTGTGTTCGTGCTTTACTATTTGTCTTCATCCTGGGTTAAGAAAACTTTCTTTTAACCATACAATAGCTATTATTATCTTTGATTTCTTTTGTTAGAGGTTATAGTTACCTGTACTCTTAAAATATGCAGCTACGAAGGGAGATGTGGCTTGCCAACTAATTTTGATTCTTCTTACTGCTATGCATTGGGTTATGGCGCTGCTGCCCTCCTGCAATTTGGGAAGACTGGATTAATATCATCAGTTTGTCCCAATGCTCTTTTCATTTATGTTCTAATTTCAAATTAAATATTTCTTCGAGATTGGTTTTAATGGTTATTTTGGTTTGTTTGGTAATACTTGGGCAATCAACTCAGTATTTGGATTTGCTATGATATTTTGATCAGGTTGCGAATTTGTGTGCTCCAGTTGAAGAGTGGACCGTTGGTGGAACTGCACTTACTTCACTGATGGATGTGGAGAGGAGACACGGTATGCATTGTGATCTATGGGGCCTTTTGGTTTGCCCCAACACCTATTTTGTTTTGGATTTTATTGCCACATTTTTTTCTCCATACTCACGGTCCATTTGGTAGAAAGAAAGAAGAAGTGAGAAATACTAAAATAGGATGATGGAAAATAGTGTAAATGAAGATGTTTTCTTTAAGAAAAATAGGAAAAGATAAATATGTGAGAAATAGAAAGGAAATACCTGATGAGTCCCACAACTTAAAATTTTTCTCGCCTCTCGTTTCTCTTCAATCAAACACATTATGTTCTGTTTCCCACCTACCTTTCACCTTTCCACTCTATTTCCCTTTTACCAAACAAAGGGTTGGGTCCATGTCTATGCCCAAATATTTTTATAGTTGGTATTCAGTACTATTATATTTTAAATTAGAAATATTTTTTTAGATGTATTTTATGGACTATCAATCACAAGGAATTGTTTCTTTTGATACTGATGGCAATAATAAAATTCCTGAGAATTTTGTGTACATTTCATTTATTTGAATGCTTTCTCTGATGTTCTCTGTTAATAAATTGTGTGGTTATCCTTTTAGGTAAATTCAAGCCTGTGATCAAGAAGGCAATGGTGGAGCTTGATGGTATGTATATATATGTTCATTCTTTCTTTGTTCCCCAAACTTACTGAGAACTATATTTTTAACTCGCATCGAAGGATAGCAATGAAATGAAGGAGAGAAAATTAATCTTTTTTATGGGTGAATATTCTTTGCCTTGTCATATTAATAAGCATGACATGGTTGATTGCTTAACCTTCAAATTCGTGCATGCAGAATTTCAGTTCTTTATAAATAAGGAATTTTCTGTGTCAGATATTATGATTGTTTCTATAAATTCTCCAATTTTGTTGGATACTGTTCGGTTACATACATTTGTGACGTTGAATCTTCAGGGGCACCCTTCCAAAAGTTTGCCTCCTTGCGGGATGAGTGGGCCCTAAAAAATCGCTACATCAGTCCAGGTATGCATTGACAGTTTATGCACTCATTTTTTTTTTCTGCACCTGCCATGCTCTTTTCTTTAGTTTGTAAATTGTGTTGTCGTTTTTGTTAGCTACAAACTAGAAAATAACTCGGTGAGTTGAAATTTCTTTGAATGTTGAAGTGGAGAAACGCTCATGATAATCCTTACTGTAGGTCCGATTCAATTCACTGGGCCAGGATCAGATGCTATTAGTCAAACTTTACTCTTGGAGCTCGATGCACAAGCTTAGACATATTGCGAGTCCTTTTTTGATGGTGGCAATTGATGTTTTTCGGGAAGTACTGCAAATATAATAGACCGGAGATTAGTCAAGCGGTTGTGTTTTTCACTTTGGAACTTTTCTATAGAATAGTTTATGCTTTAGTCGATGTGTTTTATTGTAAACTCCTGTTGCCTCGGCATCATCGACTTATGTGTATGTTTTTGGGAATATTTCGCTTCGTGATATTCTAGTTCAAAGTTTCATTTGTCTCACCATTTAGGTACCACCGTAATAATGATGTAAATTTAGTGCGAATTTTAAGATGGATTGTGTTTGCACAAGGAAACCAAATGGTCTGTTTCAACGCTGAGTATTAAAACTCTGCGATGTTGACCACAGAATCGAGTAGTGATTCTCGCAATTTACAAAAGAAAAATCCTTATAATTAGATTTTTGAAGAGTTTTTGAAAAATGTAGTAGTTGTTCATCAGAAATATAATTTTCCAGGCATATTGTTCAACCTAGAACACTGGATTTGATGGTCTATATTCTTTGGCATAAATTCAATGTAGCCAGTAAAAATAATTTCTAAAGAAATAAGAATGTAAATTTCTTGTAGTACCTTTTACTTCTGCTTGTTTGAAAATCAACTGTCATGTGCCCATTATTATTTGAATATTTGTACATAGTGTAACAAAAGAAGTTTTATTTGTTTTTTATTTTGGCCGTGGCAATTGACCTGATTTTACTTGCACAAGAACGTTCCTTGTTTGGTTTTCATTTCTTCTTGGGTGAGAAGGGATTCCCTTGTATTATAGTCAGAAAAAAACCTTTTTGATCCAATAATGAATAGATATGAAAATGCTTCCCTCCTGCATCTCAAAAATGCGGTGTGATTCTTGGATCGTGCATATATCATGAATGGAAAAAATGATATCTTATACGTAAAAATAAGTACGATTAATGGCAAGCAACCCGTCAAGAATACAATCCGTGTAATTTGGGTGAGTAACTTGTGTGAGAATTGAAACCTCTGCTGCTCTCTACTAAACTCTAAACTAAACTAATGAATGAGAGTGAATATAGGGAAGGAAGTGGCGTGGTCTAAGTAGACACTTTTTAATATAAGATAACGCAGTCTTTATGATAAACTAACAGATATGACACGTGCTTGTCTTCACTGAATACCATTTGTAGCCATGAGTGTCGGCAGATAAGCTAGGCCACATATTAGAAAACATCACGTTTAAGGCCATAGCCATTTTAACGAAACTAGTGAATCACAGCTAAGCCTAAGTGGGTTTTATATAGTACGTAGAGTATAATATGAAGGGGAAATTTGAGCAGCATGCGAGAATATGCGTGGATGACAAAGATGGTGACAGTAGATGTACATGAAAACGCATCTATTTCTCTTTCTTTATACACAATCTTACATTCAGATACAGCCACCACATGCTGCTCCTCTGCCATCACTCCCTACTCATCTATCAACTCAACCAACTTTAAGGTATATACAACACTCAAATAATAGCATAACAACACACGCACACTACTTTATTTCTCTATATCTTCCATAGCTGTTATCATTCTGAACCAAATCAAACAAGCACAACCATACATTCTTCTTCGGCTTCCACAAAATCAATTACCTTCTTCCCAATGTGCTTTCTCATCAGGATTCACAATGACAGACAGATAATGCCTGTTCAACAGTCATCAATAAACTATCTTCAGTTATCTTTGGCCTACTTATCTTCTTTGTTCAAGAGAAAAAGGAAGTTTTCCTTATTTTTCTCCTTTTTCTATAAAAGAAGGTACAAAAACAGTACAAGGTCTTTCCTCTTATTCGTGCATGGAGCGACCACTGTCCCATTCAGATGGAACTCATTGACACTGACAAAATAATGTTGATGTTTGTATATTTTATATTTCGTAAATGTCGTCTTTTAAAAAATAATATTGTTCATAATATTATTCAACTTTAAATATATGTACGATCAAAGCAAATTTACTTTCAATCTCTTTTCTAAACTTTGAATCCTTTATATGGATCCACCACGTCAATATTTGAACACGCGATCTTATATTTATTACATAAGCAAATCTTTAACGACATTTTATTAAAAAAAAATGCATCATTCAATTTAATATGAAAATTAAAAAATTTAAAACGTATTTAACTCATATAATTATCTCTTAATTCTCTTAATATATTTTATAGGACAAAAATATCATCTTTATTTATAAAAGGGTGAGAATTATTTATCATATTGGTCTTTTTAAAATAAAAAAAAAATCTAAAATAAGTTCTTAAATTTAACTATTAGTTTAAAATTACTTTAGTCCTTAAATATAGGGACACATTTAGTATCATGTTACATTTTTTTTATACCAGCCACCCACATTCACAGAAATATTATAACTATGAACGTTATTTGTAGATATATTTAAAATATGTTTGGCTATATTTTAATATTCTAAGGTTGTTTTTAAAATTTTAAATAAAATAACAATTTTTTTAATATAGCAAATTAACTTAATATTTCCATAATACAACACCAACATTTTTTGATTCCAAATTCAAAGCAATGCCTATAGTACCTTCTTCAAATTCCACCAATTCACCCGCCATTACTTCATCAAGACCATAAATACGAGCAATACCATCGCCTACTTGAAGTACAGTACCTGTATTTACAATTTTTACTTCTGTATTATATTGCTCAATGCGTTCACGGATAATTTTACTAATACCTATTTCAGAACATGAGATTAAGTATTTTTGTAGGTAATTTAATAAAAGTGTAATATACATAATAATCCACCCAACTATAGCTATCAAAACGGGTAACTCGGTTCGACCCGGTCCGACCCATCACGGGTTGGTCACTTAGTAAGCCAACTCAACCCGACTCACTCAGTGAACTAAAAAAATTTTCTCTCTTGAAACATATTTTTTTTATCCTCATCTACAATATAATAAAAAAAATTCTAACTAATAATATTGAAATATAAACTAATAAATAATTAAATTAGATGGATTGGTGACCCAACCCAACTCACCACGGATTCAACCCGGGTAAACCGGGTTCTGAGTAAGCCAAGTTAAAAATTAACCCACATAAAGAAATTATATTTTTTTCAAACTCAACCCGGCTCAAACATTTCACCGTGTATTTATATATTATAACCGTAGACTTTTACTCAATATACAATTTTTAGCAAATATTATAACTTTTAAGTTATAAATTTTTTAGTTAAAGTGATTGACATATAAAATAATTAGGTTCTCGTATTTTTAGAAATGTGTGCGTATATTATACACCTTTCACACATATTATATTTTAACCTAAATCAGGAAACATAGAAATTGAAAAATTAACATGTAATTATTTTATTTGATTAGAAACGTGTGTTAGGAAATATCAAAAACACAATGGATGGAGCCTAAGATATTTTGAGTCATGTTTTTGTAATGTTTGTTTTTATTATTGATATCACTTGATTTTATCGGACTTAATAAATATATTAGAAAACATGATTTGATAAAATTTTTTAACTATTTTATTATGAAACAATTTAAATTTAAATTTATTTTATAATTTGATATTATAATTATTATTTATTATGAATATCATTATATTATCATTAATTATATTATTATTATATATTTGAGTTAAATATTATTATAATGGGAACATATAGATTCATAATCATATTAATTTTATAAATATAATTAATGTTTTTCAAAAAATATAATCTTATAAATATAATTAATGTTTCTAAAGAAATATTAATTTAATAATTACTCACATTGTGTATGTTTATTAAAATCCTAAATTCGTGACTTAAGCCTAAAAGAATCTAAGATCAAAATTATGGTGGGATGACCTCTTAATTTTGTGCATCTCTTCCGCAACATTGAGCAACTACACTAACTTGTATCCGTATCTAGACATTGTACGATGAACAAATAATGTGAAATTATGATGCAGATCCTAGTGTTTGTTGTTACTAGAGTAGTTTATTTGTCGTAGTACTAATAAAAAAGCAAAAGAGTTGTTGAGAAATATGATTGGAAAGATGAGTATGGCAAATGAATGATGCATTAGTGAAAGTGTTGAGTTTATTTTTTGAAACATGTAAATCATTAGACTTTTTCCCTTCCTTATCCTGACTTTTCCTTTTGTTTTGGCTTTGCTACAATTATTGGATAATAACAATAATAATTTTCTCAACACAATTTTGTTTAGATTTGACAATTTGAAATGATTATATAATATTCCATATTGATCATTTTATAATTGCTTTAAATATTTATAATAATTATAAACCATTAAAATAAAACTTATCAAAATAAAAAAAATGACATCAAATTAGTACGTTTGAATTATAAAAATGAACAAGTGGGATTTTATAGGTTATAGTTAGTATCTATTCATAAACTCAAACTTATTAAAATACAAATTGATAAATCACTCTCTACTCATATTCATAGAGTAGGGTAAATCTTATCGAAACTGAACAAGGAAGATTTGATTGCATGTGAGTCGGATTTAGCGATATCATTACGAAAACCTAAAACATTGAACCCTAATTATTGAAACACCAAACATGGACATTGCTTGCAAATATTGGAGGAAATTTAGACAAGGATATTCATGGTTTGGCCATGGGTGAATTTGGATAAAGCCTAATGAGATAGATAGGTTCACAGCGAGAATAATAATCTTAAACTGAAGTCATTATTGACAAAAGCAGTAGTTAAATTGAGAAAATTGAGGATTAAAATAGTAGTAATTAGAAGAGAACAAGTTCCAAAGAGTTGTACTTAAAAGAAGAAATAAAAAATGTGTTTGATGTTCCCGAAATGGTTAATGGGTAGCATGTGAAAATTGGTTGTGAGCTTAATGGCCATTAAGATGGGTTGGTTGGTGACCATCACATCGTAACTAACAACACAAGAAAGAAAAAAGTCATTCAGAAATGAATATTGAATTGAATTATAAAGAAAGAGCGTAAACAATGAACATCAAAGTCAATAGGGTAATTATGTATAGAGGCAATCCAAAAAGACCAAACCTTAGTTTTGGGAGCCATGTCCTCCCACGTAGCCTCCCAAACCTTATATACAGATCCTTTGTCCTATGCTGTCCCACGAAATTAGGATCATCCTTTTGAAATTCAAGTTTCACTTTAACTATAACAGAATAAAAATAAGTGTCAAAAATATATTCTTATTATCATATTTCATATAGTTTACAAGTCC